AAAGCCAGCTTCAAAGTGCCAAACCAAGAGTACCACAAATGTAGCGGAAACGAAAACCAATATGCGCAATCCACTCTCCTTTAACAATCCGCCAATCATAATTCGCCACGACGAAATACTATACAATTTGGAAAAAGACAGTGGTCCATGAACAAAAATTTCAGTCATACTCAACCAAAAATAATTTATAAGTAATCTTTGACAAAAGTAATGATCGCCAAATAGGTAAATTCTGCAACCAACATTTGGATATATTGTGCAACTTGGAAATGCGAACCAACAAATTCAGGTATCTCCTCCGATGTGATAGGCATGTTGGTTACTTATATTGCAAGAGTTTACCTATTAAGCGATCATTACTTTTGTCAATGACCGTACCTGTTAGAAACACTAATGTCCAAGAATTCATCTAAAATATAATAAAATAAGTTGGGGGTTATATTTTTGAGAAGAGAATTTAATATGGTATTTTTCCATATTAAAATTTACAGGGTGTTTCATTTAAAAAAATGAGTTAACTTTTACGATCACTTTACTTAGCCCCATACACAAAGTCGCAGATTATTCAACAATTGTTATAAAGTAACTTTTGTATAAAACATTTGTCTGTGTATCTTAAGCGAGCGAAAATTTTCAAATTTGGATTCTACCATTTCAAGTTTGACCCAAGAGGAGGCGATAGGCTTGTGGTAAGGACACAAACTTACAACACGAAGGTGTCGAGTTCAACTCCAGTCCAGTAAGTTAAACAAATGAATTAGTCTCAGAACTTTTTTTTCACGTTACAAAAGGTTTAATGAAAATAATAGAACAGGAACAAATTACATTATAAAAACGGGGTTTTAAAACATAATAAATTTCGTCAAAAGAATTACAAAAAAAGGTAAAGGTCCTAAAATACATTCGGCATTGCCTTTTTGAATTTCTATACTTATTCGTTGGTAAATAAACTGGGTTGAGGTTGAGTCTTTTACCAATTATTGCCGCTGTCATGATTTTGGCTTCATTTCCCCACGGACCCATGGTTTCTACAGCGAATCCATTAAAAATAAATGTAGGTTCTAAGGCAGCGTAAGTATTTTTTTTTCTCCAACCACCTGAATAAGACGCTATTTTGTGACAGTGTTCGGTACGTAAAATTGACGTTTTGCGGATTAATCGCTTTCACGATGGCAACTGTACAAAAAGTGGATACTTTTGGTCCTAGTACCAAAAAGAAATTGACCTTGAAAGTTGGCCAATGAAAAAATTACAATCACGGAGATATGTCACATTGACATCGTTTTACATTGCAGGTTGTAAGATATTTCTATACATACAAATCAAATATTTTTGCATATTCAATGCAAATAATGATGTTACCTATACGTATGTACATGTATTGAAAATGGTTTACGCTCGCTATTTTTATTTAAACCATGTGTAACGTAATTTACATATTCGATGAACGTAATTTTAATACGTATACAACTCGCCGTCGCGCGTAACGCCATCTACTTCAGACCCATTGCACTATTATCTGTCATTTTGAATTCAAAATTTGAAAAAGTTAATTGCAATTAATTTTAATTAAAAAACTGTATGGTAAGTTTTTTATTCCAATACAAAATATAACAATATTAATTGTGTATACAATAAAATGACTGAAACTGATAGCGACATGGATTGCACTCCGCCAGAGATTATAGAAACGGCAGAACATGCTACCTCAAGATTTGCTTCCTACAAAGTCGCGAGAGGTGAGAAGTAAGAAGTCAGAACGAATAGGTTATAAGTTAACCTAAAAACTAGAGTGGCATGACACGTGAGGACAAGAAAGCAGAAGTTCTTATACTATAGTAGTGAAACTGTGACTGAATCTAAATTCGAATCTAATTTGAAGTAAAGGGGGTTGGAGAAAAAATTTTATGTTTTATTCGTACCAAAAATGCGTTTTTGGGACTCGGAAGGTTGCTGGACCCCGCTAACGCGTCGTCCAGCAACGCTAACGCGTCGTCCAGCAACTGTCTTCCTCGTCTCGAAAACTGACATTTTTTGTACTAATGAAACAAATTAACTATTTTCTGCGTTCAGCTAAAGCGGCTGCAGAACCTGCTTTCTTCACCGAGGAGAAGAGATATGAAGGACATAAGGTATCAACACAAGTAAAGTCCCATGCCAGACATCGTCCTTCCATCCAAGGTGTTAAAGTTCTCACATCAGGTCGTTTTTTATCAATTCCAAAAAGATGAGGAGGTTCTAAGATGACTGAATAACCAGCCTCATGGAATGCTCTTTTCTGACATTCTATATGGACATAATTTCATATTCTAACTTTTCTTAATAATAGTTGCCGTATTATTGACCGAAATGGCACTTTACCTTAAACATAAAATTATTTTTGTACTCCGTGAACTAAATCAACGTGTTTTGTCATTCATTTAAGGGACTAAAGTGCAATTTTTTCTCCCTGGAGAAAAACGCGACGCGGGACTAAAAGTGACAGTACAAACTAAATTGTCACTTATAATTGCACAAGAGGTTTGTATTTTACCGAGTAAATTTGGGTTGTTTAGGTAATGAAAATCTGTTACCTAGTAATTAGACGAGAAAAACTGTCAACTAATAAAAATGCGACACCGCAGGAGGAGCATTTTTAGGTTGACAGTTTTTCGAGTCCAATTGCTAAAAGGAAACAGATTTGAATTGCCACAACCCAAATTTACTCGGTTTAAATACAAACCTCGAGTGTAATTCGGCGGGACAATTTAACGAACAAGAAATTCACCAAATTAATCAATTATTGACAGACGTCAAACTAGTCATATGGGAAAGGATAATGCGATTATTGGTTCGAAAATGAATAAGTGAAAAAACCACTAGTGCATTTGTCGCTGGAAAAGTTGCAGGTAACTTTTGCCGCTGTCAAAGTGACAATTGCACTGCGGCTTATGCGATTTTTTATACATGAGTTGAATTGTCACTTATAATTGCACAAGAGGTTTGTATTTTACCGAGTAAATTTGGGTTGTTTAGGTAATGAAAATCTGTTACCTAGTAATTAGACGAGAAAAACTGTCAACTAATAAAAATGCGACACCGCAGGAGGAGCATTTTTAGGTTGACAGTTTTTCGAGTCCAATTGCTAAAAGGAAACAGATTTGAATTGCCACAACCCAAATTTACTCGGTTTAAATACAAACCTCGAGTGTAATTCGGCGGGACAATTTAACGAACAAGAAATTCACCAAATTAATCAATTATTGACAGACGTCAAACTAGTCATATGGGAAAGGATAATGCGATTATTGGTTCGAAAATGAATAAGTGAAAAAACCACTAGTGCATTTGTCGCTGGAAAAGTTGCAGGTAACTTTTGCCGCTGTCAAAGTGACAATTGCACTGCGGCTTATGCGATTTTTTATACATGAGTTGAATTGTCAAACACAATTTAATGCTTAATGGCTACCTGTACATATTTATTCTTTCACCATATTTTACACTTATTATACCGTTTTCCATATATCTTTTTTAATTTGGAAGGCAGTAGGGTTCCTTATAGCTTGTTCTTCAGAGGTTTAAACGATCATTTGTACGTCGTAGTTTTAAACTAGAATCTTTAAATCAAACTGACATTTATCGTTATACGGTCACAATTTGACATTACCAGGTATATTGATCCTACAATCAATCAAATTTTTTTTTTCAAATTTGCACTTAAACATTGAAATTGCCGTAGCTGATTACCGGAGTACAAAAAATAGCGTATATATACCTACGTTTCGGGCAACAATCTGCATCCTCGGGATTAAAACACACACTTTAGTCCCTTGGTATATAATATACTATTTTTTTCTCAATTATCAGGGCCATCTTGGATTTTAAAAAGTAAAAATGTGCTTTTCTTTTCAGACCGGGATCCCAAAACATCAAAACGAGATTAAAAAATGTTACACGTATAATAAACTCCATCTGGGGGAACACTGTATTGTAATGCCCCAGTAGAATTTTTTTGAAAAAAAATTATGTAGCTTCCTAAAATACAACATTTTTCAGAATGCGTAAATGGCATATCTTTTAGCAAAAAAAACTTAAACATATGATGAAATATACAGGGTGTTCCATATTATAAAAAAAATCGGATTTTTGTTATTACCCCAACAATGCGATATTTTATTTTTTTAATTACTGATTTGAGTTCAGTAGAAAAAATACACAATTTTGATAATTTAACCGTATTTCTAACCATACAAGTAAGTGCAGACTTAATTTGACGCAGACTGTATGTAGATTACATTAGATATTTTTTCACAAGGCAGGGTCAATGGTTGGTAAGAAATGTATGTGCGGTTTATTTCGTAGAAACTGATGTGCACGACACATTGATCCTGATGTACTTTTAACCTGGATTTTGGAAAAATGGGATATTTTAGGGTACTCTTTTATCTACTTATTCTGAATCTAAAATGTTCAGCCTTCTCTACCAAAATCTTTGAATCTAAATCTATTATTACTAGGTTAGTGGTATAAACGTTTTAAAAATAGAAGGTTATCATGGCCTGGAAAGGCTTCTACTTCCGCCATACCTTTCATTAACACACCAACACTTAATTTCCGCAACAGTTAGAGCGACTTAGATAACCCTATTAAGTGGCAGAGCAAAACGATGCAAGCTTTATAGGGGTGTCGATGGTGTCCGTCTGTCCGTGAACACAATAACTGTCAAACGCTTGGACCGAGTTGATTCAAACTTTGCACCGTTGACCTATATGCGACATGTAATAAGCCTATTGAAAATGGACCAAATTCAATGACCCCGTAGGGTCACGCTTCTCTGCCTCTGGCAAACTCTTGAACCTATTCGGTTCAAACTTTGCACAGTTGAGCTATATGCCGCATGTAACAAGCCAATTGAAAATGGGTCAAATCCAATGACTCCGTGGGGTCACACCGAGATGCTCCGCCGCTTTTTCAGACGCTCTTTATGAGTTTATTAACAGTGTATCTTTTTATATTTGTAGACCACTGGTATCCTACCGATATGTATGGAGTGTTTGGGAACGGAAGCGAAAAATAGCAATGGTTTGTTTGAAAAATTGAGTGCCTGTTCAGGTTGTGGGTCGTGCGTACATGTGTCATGTACAAATAGCGGCCCAGAGCTTGGTTTACTTATAGCGAAAGGAAGCAAATGGTATTGTGAAGATTGTAGGACATGTAATTCGTGTGGTACGTTGTAAATGACTGTGCGTTGACAAACTTAAATACGAAATTTTCAGAAAAAGTGAACGTCTCAACCTGCCTTTTATGTTGTTGCAATTGCGATCGAATTTACCACATGAGTTGTTTAGAACCTCCTCCGGAACGTAAACCAAAGTGTCCTTGGCGATGTCGGCATTGTTTAACGCATCACGAAAGTACAAAAGCAAAAAGAACGAAGTCCGGAACTAACGTTAAAAAGAAGATCGACAAAGTGCGGGAAAAAATCAAAGAGAAAACCAAAAAGTAAGTATCTTCGGTTTATGAGCGCAACCTAACCTCTTCTGGTTTTCAGAAACGGTCTGGAAAACGCGGATGATCCACCGATCTCTACTACGCCAATCCCTAAGGGAAGTTCGCGTAAAAACGCGGCGCCGCAAATTAGCGAAAGTGATAACAGCGATCACGAGGGTACGCCATTCCCCACCACTAGTTCTCATCTCCACCCTTCCGACATTCGTACCTCTCCTACCATTGACCGCCTTGAAACCTCTGACCGCATGTCTAAAGAGAAGCGTAAGTTCTTCAGGCTATCGGCTTTTAATGCCGATAAGAAACGCGACAAAAAAGTCTCACCCGTCAGTAACGGCGACCCAAAAGGTCCGAGCGAAAAGAGGACGGTCTCCAAAATGCAGAAGGGATCGCAAAAAAGAGTTTGCAAAAACACGGAGATAACCGATAAGCTCGTTAAAAAATCCAAAGGTGCTAATGTAAGAAGAAGGCTAATCCAAACCAAAGAATTATTGGAGTCCGATTCTAATTGCTCTGAAAGTACTAAAGTCAGCTCGCATAAAAAAAGTAATAGTGCCAGTAGTAGCGACATTTCAAGTTCAGATAGCGATTCCGACTCCTCCTCAAAACCAAAATCAGATATCGTTAAATTAAATTCAAAATTACCATTCGCGCCAAAAGAGCCGGAAACTTTTGGTTCAGTTGGAGGAATTTGTATTGACAACAAAGACGTATGGGGGTTTGCTGCGGCTGCCGCACAAGGAACGACGCCATTCGACGTAAGTAAATCGGATGATAAGACCAAAAATTCCGAAAATGAGGATGCAAGCGAAAAAGGTAGATCTGCCGGTATAAATCAGCTAAAAGGATTATTCGACGGTCTCTCTCACCTTTTCGCAACACCAACCCTTAATCGCTCTAGGTCTGGAAATTCTCCAAATTACAATCCAACTCGGCGGAAGAAAGAGCCCGAGGTTGTTAAAAGTCAAACTGATTTGAGTGATACAGTTGATGATGCCGTGAAAATGGAAATGGTCAGGGACGTTAAAGTTGAAAAGACTGATGCACCGGAAGTGAAGGAAAAAGATATAAAAGTTGTTAGCAGTGACGGTCTTAAGCAAACGAAAGTCGCTCACTTATCCCACAAATTCCCGCATTCAGCTAAAGTCCTTACCTCCGAGAGTGTACAAATGACACCTTCCAATTTGGTTAAAACGGCAGTTAACTCAAAAAGGCACGAATTAGAACGTAGGAAGTTACTTAAGAGTGAAGCTGGGTTGGATACGGCAAGCCTCTCCAATAAAACATTACATGAGGATGTTCGTATGAAAAAACGAAATCTAATTGCCGAAGCTACGCAGGCAAACCGTCAATTCTCGTTGCTGCCACTTACCAACAATCGCACGGGTAAGATCCGATTCCAACCCAACTACACTTGCTTCCTTTCTATCCTTCTAACGCTTACCTCTACACCTTAAATTTATGGCCACGGCAACAGTAAGTCATTTACTGTCCCAAGTTAACAATCACGTGGAGTATTATTGAGGCACCTATGTGTGAGAGTTGATGTTTTGTGTGTGTTATTCATCACATTTTGAGTGAAACAAGAAAACAATGGGTATGTTTTGTAAACATTTTTAGCGTTCTGTTGCAGACTAACAAATATTGATTGATAGCTACTGTACAGTTGGCTTGCTGTGCAAAAATCAGTTAATTGATTGATTAACTGATTATTTTTGGATCATTTAATTCATTCAATTCTTATAGGTAATCTGCGGGTAATCATGATAATCGATACGATTATGCAATAGTCTTTTATCAAATAGTAAATACCTAATGGTTCAAGGTAGACTTGATTAGGTTAAATAACACTTTCATTAAAAATTATATTCTGTGACCCAATAAATATTTTCGATTCATTTCTCTATAGGTAGAATACAGGATGCCCATTTTTCACGTCAAATGTCTGGTACTGAGTGGAGTTGGAGTTGGGGCAAAGTTGCTAAGCCGGGCCTTAAAATGCAAACAATCTTGTTCTAAGTTTTAATAATGCTGTGTGCAATGGTATGCAGTCACTATACCACCCACCAGACACTTACCTAGCTACCTCAAATTACAGAATTTTTTTTTCTTTTAAATTCTCCCGCAGGTCACAACTGGGTTCCAACCCAACAAAAAAATCCTAACATTGACATAAGTCAAAGTTCGCAATCAAATTCTGTAAATTCCAATGAAATCACTGTTCAAACTTTGAATAAAATCGGAAATAACAAAAGAAATTAGAAAAATAAAACTCTGCCTGGCATTCAAATTGACACATAATGAAAAATTACAAGAATTCATTCTAACACGCATCGTGAAAAAAAAAATTAAATACACAAAAAATCCTGTTCAGGCTGACAGTGCCTTTGAAATACAACACACCCTGTTTGCAAACGGTCGAACCAAAAACAAATTAAGAGATTTCTAAAATTACCCACAATTCTGTTTATAATAATCCTTCTGGTCAGGACAAGAAATATGTGAAGCACACACTTTAACACGAATCTAATAGATTCTCCTCAGAAACTAACTTAATATACAACTGGCTCGAAGACAATAACACTTAACTTTGTCTCTACTCGAATGGTAAAACTTGTCTTTTATTACACATTCGTGACTACACTTGAAAATTTCTCTACACTGCCAGAACTGATAAACACCTGCATCGCTTATCTCGCACGTGACATTGGGTACGTGCAGCCGACGCAACTGTCACGCGTGTTTTCTTATATTGATTGATTAGCAAACGTCAACATGTACCTGAACGGTTCTGTTGACACCGTGCTTCATCGTCCTGTATCGTAATTCCGTCCTGAGAAAAAATGGATATTGTTTTACAAGAATTATTAGAAGATGATGAATTTTATTCGAGTGGCAGTTACAAATATCGCTGCTCTAATAATCATTGAACCTTCTAGACAGACACAAAATGTTAGGTTATGATATAACAGTGAGGTAAATTATCGGCAAATTTGTGGGTGCCAATTATTACCAACTGTTGACTTTCTCCAGAAGTTACCGTTCATCGTTCAGGTAAGTCCACGTCTCGACATACTGAATAGTACCCATTGTTTGTCGAAAAGCCAATTAATTCTTGTCCAATAACAACTTTTCATTAACACGTGACCAGATAAAACTTTAAACTCACGTAAAAATCTGATTAAATGTTCCCTAAGTGCTCGTTTTAAATTTATCATACAAACTAAATACAACAAATAGAATTAAATGAATTACACAATTACCGACCAAATGTACAATATGAAACTAACATTAAAATGACAAATTCTGTGTCTATTTGAAATAAAAAAATTCCCAGGTTTTAATGAAATAACTTGAATATACAAGATGTCCTAATTGCTATTTCCGATATTCAGATCGAAATTACGTTAACAACAAGGTGGCTCGCTCTGATCTTCGGCATTGTTTCAACGTAGAGAAACGACACCCCAATAGTTTACACAACAATATGTAAATCAAAGTTGGGTTAGTTACACCATTTATCTTTGATTTCTTGGATTTGTATGTGCCCCAAATAGCAGAAAAACTACAGTTACAGTTAACCAATGTCTAATGTTATAGGGCAAATTAGAATATTTCGTTCTATTCATTTATGACAAATCTCTTTTCATCTTAAGGCTCAAGTTTATATTTGATAATAATAATAAGCTTTTTTATTGTGTTAGAAAACATTACTCTATGTATACAAAGTGTTAATAGTAAGTCTATATACCCGAAAACGGGAATTAAAACTCATTAAAACAAACAACTTAGTTCGAATTTTTGATTTGGTGTCCCGGGTCAAAGTGATTGGTCTTTTTTTTGTTTTTCGAAAAGTCGTCATACTCCCTTATTTTAAGAACTATTGAAAAAAACCAACCATTTTCACAACTTAGCTTTCTAAAACATTTGTATTTATAATTACTTTTTATTGGTTTCTAATAGTAAAATAGCGATCAATCAAAAATTTCAAAAAAACATTTTTTGATAACCACCCCATTGATTTTTGAAAGTAAAACATTATAAAATCACTACACTACTTACTACAACATTTGTCCTAAACATTTTTTTTCAATCTATCTTCCGGGGGGAGGGGGGCATTTTGAAAACCGAAATTGAAAAAATGTTTAGGACAGATGGTGTAGGGATATAAATGTTTTGCTTTCAAAAATCGATGGGGTGGTTATCAGAGAGTGCTTTTTTGAATTTTTTGATCAATCGATATTTTGTTATTGGACAAAATAAAAAATAATTGCAAATGCAAATGTTTTAGAGAGTTCTGAAAATTTGAAAGTTTTTTTTTTTCCATAGTCCTTAAAATGAGGAAGTTATGACGATTTTTCGAAAAAAAAAGAACGCCAACAACTTGGAACCGGGGCACCAAATCTAAAATTGGGACTAAGAAAAGTTGTTTGTTGAGTTCTAATTGCCGTTTCCGGCTGTAACCGCTTAGTATTAACACCCTGTATACAAATAATTCCGTGGAGGCGAAGTTCAGCGCTGCTGCTCTTGCACTTAACCTCCACTAAACCAGTCTCATAGGAATGTATGGCGGAACATCATATTTTACAACGAAGACAAACTGAAAATTAAGATGAAAGCAATTTATTTATTTATTATCCCTCTCTTGTTCTGTGCCCTCAACAGGTTTGCGCCTATACTGTATTCATTTTAAGAAGGTAGCGGTAGAAAGCATAGGGAAGCTTTGACCTTGACTGTGATTGGTTAAAACATGAGTCAGTATTACAATGAAACATAAAACGACTGGTCAATTTTGTAAGGTGCTAGTTTATGTTGCCAACTAAACTGCCGAAGTGTCATTAGCTGTTATTGTCAAAGGTTTATTTCTGTTCGTAGTGCTGAATATTTCTACTTTACAATAATTTGGTGCCCTTTTATATTTTTCCTGTGTGTGTTTATCTTTAAACACAGCGCCATTTACTACCTTCTTATAATGAATGCAGTATAATTACAGAGTGACCCGCATAATGCTTTTTAGAGAAAGCAATATGAGTTTAGGAGAAGAATTGTATCAAAAAATAATAAACAATAAACAACGCAAACAAATATAAAGTATTAACAAAGATTTAGTAACTTTGTCCTAATGTAACTAACCGAGTCTAAAGATAATTAAGATCCCCTTGTGAGACGTGAAAAATGATCACCCTGTGTGCGTATAAATTAAGGGTGGGCATTAAATGTTGTTCATACCAAAATAAGTATATTTAAATATATGGTGGTAGCATTTATACAATGTGTAAAAATGTAAACTAAACTGGGTTCACCCCTGTAACTGGAATTGGTGATCTGGATTTAAAATTTTGGTGGATGCTAAGAATAAAAGCAAGTTGAATACTATTTACTTCCGGTTTAATAGGAAGTGGCTATGCATTTCATAATTTAAATGGTACACTGTATATTTTTACATTTTTGGATTCTACAACTAATTTTCGACACGTATGGCGCAATTGAGAGGAAGCTCCGGTGCGATACTGGGGGCCCCTGGTTCGAATGCGGGTTTGGTTATGGATATTTGTAAATGTATGGTGGATTGTGTTGGTAGAACAACCTTACCTGAAACCCCGCCCACTTAAAAATAGTAATGGCCAAAAAAGATAATTTTACACGTGATGTAAAATTGTCTGTAGAATTCGAAAATGGAGAATATACAGGTTACCATTTAAATAATTTTATAATCATTGTCCGAAAATTTGTTTTTACTCAAATGTTATATTAATAACATCAATTCTGCTAAAATAACAGGAACGACCATAGTTTGATTTACACACTGCATGGGGTGATGGATATGTCAAAGATCAAAAAAGTAACAAATGCAAAGATTTTCGTTTAGAGCTTTGGTTTACAAAAACTGTAAATAAAATGAATTATCGGATTATGCATGTGATCATTCTCACTTCTTTTCACAGCTAAGTTGATATGCGGGTGGAATATCTTTAAGTTTGAGCCATAATTGAAAATCCAAGTTCTGTCAGAATAATCCATAATCCATTTGATTTGAGTGAAAGTTTGGTCACGCATACACTTTAAGGATATGTTTATTAATGTATAGCAATAATGTAGGCATAGGCCATGTTTTTTTCCAAATTTATCATTGAGCCAATTGGTTTAACCGAATTGGTAAATTTCACTATAGTTGCAATACTATTTCCAGAATTTCCACGTTAATTTCTGTGTATTTGGTTAAGACACCTAGAAAACCACTGTATGACCACGCTGTTTCTGTAGAGTCACTGTAACATTTAGTATAGCAACTAAAAAGAACCAAATATACCAGATTGGCTGAAATTAGTCTGGAAACCAAGGTGACTGATCGGAAACAAATTATGACCAAATCAATCAGTTCTGTCAAACTAATCAGCTTAATGACTAATTTGGAAAAAAAAACATGGGGGAGGGGTCACTGTAATCGGTAGCATGCTGAGGGAATTTTGTCCCGTTGAGCATCCAAAAGGACTTGCAGTAGTGTTTGTATTGCTGGTGTGGCTTCAATGCTGTCATGCGTTCTCCAATTCAAAAAAATTAGTCTCGTTTACTGAACAAATTTCAAAAAATAAAAAGGTGTTTTTTGAGGTAATTAATAATTAAATCTTGCCACTGAAAGGGGAAACCTGGTACAGGGGTGGAGATACTCCTTTTTTTTGTAGCAGAAACTGAAAAATTCTGTATTACGTTTTGCAGAAGAAAATCAAAAATGTTGCATACTTTTAACCGCTTAAAGTTCATTTTTTTTTTGGCCTAGTTTGTTTTTGATTAATTTTTTAATGATCAACGTAAACATTTAACTATTACAAAAAATGAATTTTTACATTGCAGGATACGTCGCTCTTTTTGAACACTGTATTTGTCGTTTAACTTTGGTTCACCCTGTACATCGCACATTTTTCGATAATGTACAGCTGCAGTTCTTAAGATTACTATGTCTCGCTTATAGTGTGTATTTGCGGTACAATTACATGCGCTAAAGCTAAGTTGGGTGGGCTGATTTTGCAATTGTTTCAAAATGAAAACAACGTGTTAGCGCTCTGTAGATCTGTTTATCCTAACCCTGAAATTTGATTTTTTGTCTGCGCTGCTCAAGCATTTTTTTTTATATAAAACTATTGTGTTTATCTTCTTTTATACAAGAAAAATTTGTTTCAATGAAAATCAAGAAGCTACTTTTTTATTGATTTCAGTTACCTGCTGTTTTCATTACCTATTTGTCTATCTTTATACACATTGTGTCCAAGTTAAAAATTTCTATCATGGGAATCTCGGAAACCATAAAAGATGATGGGAAATAGATGCGCAATTAAAGAGTTATCATCGTGCTTTAAAGAAATCGAGAAAATTCCGATGACTGCCGTAGATATTCGGGCGAGTTAAAATCGAACCACTTTATGACATATTGATTTCATTCCTTTGCTGTCTTGAATATCTGGTCCATCTGCAACCCCTATTAACTTGAGTAGTTTCACCTCCACCTCACTTTGTAATGGTAAAAGCCACCAGAAAAAGGTTTTCCAAAACGGAAAGTGTATACCCGAAATCCTACTTAAGCATTAGTTTCATTTTTATATGTGCTATCATTGTTGTGAGAAAAAGTAAAGGAAAAAAATTGACTTTTGAGGTTTGGCCCCCAAGCAAAACATTTTGATCTTTTTAATTTTTTTTTCATATACAGGATCTTTTAAAGGGACAAGTATCCTTATATGGGAACGTAGAAAAGCTACACATAAAGGTTCGCGACCATGAACTTTCTTAAAATTGTGGCAGTTTTCTAACAATTCCGATTATACTTCCAATACACCCCTATTTTAGATTCCTTTTTGAAAATAAGGGTCTTAGTAGTCAATATCTATGGCCATCTCTCTTTCTGTTGCTGCTTCTCCAATGTTAAGGATCGAAAGGCATTATGGACTCGTTCCAACTATTTTCCTTTGTTGCTTGTTCTGCCCCCCCCCCCCCCCCACACACAAAAAAAGTCAAATGGCATCTAATCCAGAGACCTATGGAGCCATTATTACCAAACCACCTACCTTCAAACAAAATCTCAAGGTTTCTTCCAAACTACGTTATAATTCTGGACCGGAGCGCCATTTTGCTGGTACCATACTTTCATCCGCTGTTGAAGAAGTCCACCCCTGTATTCAAAATTTGGCTGAAACCCCGCCCACTCAAAAATAAAGGCAAAAAAAAAATTATCGAACTCTTTTCAAATTTCCGTCATAAATTACGTCAAAAGTACACATTGTCAAATTTTTTCTTAAAATACAAACATCTCGAAAACAGTCAAAGATGGCCATAGTTGTTGTTTAGTAAACTGATTTAATTTTCAAAAGGGAATCTAAATGTTGAATAAAAAATGGAGACTGCCATTTAAAATATGGAAGTTGGTGGCTACTTCTGGTAAGAAAACTGTCACTATTTTAAAAAGGTAGGTAATCGTTTAGAACCTTTGCGTGTAAGTTTGAGGATTTCCCATTTAATTGTCCCTTTGAACGAAAGACCCTGTATGTATGTTAAGACTGTATCAGAAGTTTTGAGGTGTGTAAAGGACCAGCAATTTTTTTGGACGTTAATGAAGTACTTGTATGCTTTATACAGAGTGAACACTGTCTGAATATATATTCAAAATCTAAAGAAGCTTTTTGTGATATCCAAAAAACAGTTTGCGATCAATCTACGTACTTTAAATTTGTGGTCAGTGGCGTAGGCCTACTTGTGCATGGTCAAGAGGGGCTTATTTTTTTTTTGATATTGCAGCATAAAAAACTTCCTATATTGTATAATCAAATTTGAGAAAAATTCAAAATTAGGAAAAGTGTTGCGTTAATTCATTTAATTGATTCACTAGTTGGCGTTGAAAAAAACGTTGTTCTTTTGTTAGTTATGTCAATTAGCATTGTTTGCAAAATAAACAGCATTATTATTATTATTATTATTATCAAAAATCATTAAATAAATTTAAGTAAGCCTACATGCTTAAACATTTATAGTGGCAGAACTAAGAGGGCCACGGTATTTAATGGGGAGCACTATTTTTCGTGAGGTATTAAGAATGAACTTTTTTTCTTTTTTTAGTATGGCACCATAAAACATGATACAACTAGTGAAATTATGAAATCAATTAACAAACTATTTGTCTTAATTTGAGTTTTTCTCTTAAATTTGATGTGTAAGTTTTTTATGCTTCTAGATCCAAAAAAGTTTACTCTTTGAATATGTAATGAAAAAATATATATTATCGCCGCCACAAGAGAAGAGCCCTGCGTCATCAATGTACGAATGCATAAATCCAAGGTGTTGATACTTACATCTCAAAAATTTGCGCAACCCAAAAAAGGACAGAGACCGAAACAAGTTCTTGGGATATAATAGACGTGCGCTTTTGAAAAGCTAAATGTAATGAAAAGAGATAACCTATAACGCTTGTCAAGTTTAACATGCATATTTGATGCTGATTTGACCAACGTCGTAATACTCCTAATTATTTTCTAATTTTCCATAACCTCTTTTGCTCTTCGTTTTTGTCATTCTTCTTTTACCTACGTTTTTTTTCAACTTTCCTGTTCTTTATTGCATTTTAACAAAAACAGCTGAATTGGGATTTGCTGTTGCTCTTTTTAAACCTTTGCGAAACTACGCCATCTAGTACATTTTTCAACAACTTTAATATGGATTATTACGGAACTATTTTGACTTTGATTTTAAATCTTAAATCACACGCTTGTAGATGATGACGCAGGGCTCTTCTCTTGTGGCGGCGATAATAGACTCCCTTTGATCATGCAGAGGTACGCCACTGACCAAATTCAAAGTACATAGAATAGTAGCAAATTTTGTATAATTTTGCATACCATAAAAGCTTTTTGTTTTGAAGATATATTCAGTGTTCCAGACAAAATTTTCGCCTTGTTTATAACTCAAAACAATTTGTTGGGACAATCACATCGGTCTTGTAGCACTCAACAATTGTGTTCCCAGTCATAGCGTAGATTGTAACCATCTACGGAACAGTTATCTCCATAATCACTTTGTGGTGACATGTTTTTAATATCCTTTGATAAGATTGTTTGTTTTTGTGGTCAACACTAGTACTTCTAAGTTGTTCCAATAGTCGAACTAGAAACTTCTGCCCAAAAGGTGTAGCCCTCGGGATATCAATTAACTATTTGAAAGCTGCTTAATCGCATTTGTGGTTAATTTTCTAGTGATTATGGTCTGCTGAAAAATGAGAATTTTATTGTATTTGTGTGGTTACAACTTGTTGTGAACTATAGGTATGTTCAAAGCTCACATTTTGGATTGTAACTTGGACCAAAATCAAAAATGGCACAATCGCTGTGATCACCCTGTACACATTTACCAGTACTAGCTATTTGAAAAGTTCAAGAGGGGAGATGTGGTTACAAATTAACAAATTCTATTGTTTCTTGTTCATTTACTAAGTGAGGTGAATCTCATATGGCCACTTTTAATTATAACTCTTCACATGGTCATTCATGCCGTGCACTAGTTTGGGCAATGCCATGCTGCCATTCAAATTTACACCAAATGCATGTTTGACACACATTCACATTTATTGCTTTCACCTCTTCATTCATTAACATTGACCACCACGCTTAACCACCTTCGGCGCCTGCTAATCGAGAAGTAGTAATTTAAAAACACTTGTTCCAGGTGTTTTCAATATGCCGCCACTACCTCCAGGTGTGACCACCAAAGACGTAGACGTATTTCGAGACACTCGGGATCGCGCAAATTCGTCTACGGCGCCGATTACCATCGCCTTACCCAACACCGAAAGCTCAAACGGTACGGTCTTCACCTCGCCCTCACAGGCGATGGCGGCGCAAGCCAGATGTCCGGCGGCGATCGAGTTCGGCATGTACGACATTCAGACGTGGTACTCCAGCCCGTTTCCCCAGGAGTACGCGAGGCTACCGAAATTATTCCTGTGCGAATTCTGCCTGAAATACACGAAGAGTAAAGCGGTTCTGGATAGGCATCAGGATAAGTGCACTTGGCGACATCCGCCCGGCACCGAGATATACAGATGCGGCGAACTGTCAATGTTCGAGGTGGACGGGAACGTCAACAAAATATATTGCCAGAATCTGTGCCTGCTCGCGAAATTATTTTTGGATCACAAGACTTTATATTATGACGTCGAACCATTTCTGTTTTACGTACTGACGAAGAACGACAAGAAAGGCTGTCATTTGGTCGGATATTTTTCCAAAGAGAAACATTGTTTGCAAAAGTATAATGTATCCTGTATTATGACGATGCCTCAGTACCAACGGCAGGGATTTGGAAGATTTTTGATTGATTTCAGTGAGTATATGTTTTTATTTTTTTTAATTCACACTATTTTTGAAAGTAATATGCGTTCACTGAAACTTCTCATCATATTTTTTGAAATTCTTTTTTCAATTTAAAATTCAACAGATATTGCGACTCGCCCCCTAATAGACAATGTGTGAACCATACATCTATTGAGAAAATGTTATTATTTCTTATGATCAACAGGTAGAGAGTGATCAAGGATAATATGCAAGGTGTTACATTTGTCATTTTCTGTTCTATCACTAAAGCTCAATTAAAAAAAAATACCAATTGCTTTGAAAATGGACATTGTCACAGATCGACAGGAAGAAGACATTTGTTGATAAACTTTTGTGCATAGAATTCCATAATCACGATCATAAAGATGACCAATAATAAATAAAGCTATCAATTCTATTAAAAAAAAGCAAATCGGCGTTTCTTTGTTTCATTGGCTCAGAACTATGTTAATGCTATGAATGCTACACATTACCCGATATATTAACACTGCAATAGGGAGGTTCGCCACTTTTTGGTATTTGTTTTATGTTAACTAAAATTGAGAGATTTTGTTAAAAAACGACCAAAAAAATTTCAGCGCAAAATATTGATATTTACGTCCGCTGAAAGCATTTCAAAATCAAGGGCCGGCGCGAAGGAAGAAAACGTGCCTGTACACAAGACTACACTGCGTGACGTCAGTAGCCAGAAACATTTGCCGCTGCGGCGTTGGCAGAGTATACGAATTCACGTAAACTGGGACGAATTTATTTATTGTGTTGTGCAAAATTAATCAAAAATCTGAAACATGGGATAAATTATGCGAATCAGTGTTTTTAATAACCTTGCACCATTTGCAGACAATAAATAAATCGTTACCAATTTCCATGAATTCGTATACTCTGCCAGCACGGCGGCAAATGTTTCTGGCTACTCACGTCACGCGGTCTAGTCTCGCACGCAGGTACGCTTTCTTGCTTCGCGCCGATCCTTGATTTTAAAATGCTTACAGCGGACTTAAATATCAATATGTTGCACCAAAATCGTTTTTTAATAAGAAAATCTCTGGATTTCAGTTACAATTAAAAAATGCTGAACCTGCCTATTCCCATGAGAACTACATGTACCTCAGCGCCAATGATGTAAACCGTGTAATTTTCTCTTAATGTTTGGTCTTAACTTTATTTAATTGCAACCCCTTAAAACTCCATTAAAAAAATTGCGGTCTGCGCATGCGCAATCCATTTTTTAATACTTGCACATAAATAATGATCCAAAGTGGATGGATCACTAATCGAACACCTGTAGAATATGATGGGTCATAATCTAAAGGCTTTACAACCACTTGCAAACAGTTTAGATGATCTTCAAAAGGGTCTTTTATAATATTGGGATAGTATATCACAGGCTAGCATCAAACTGTGAATTTGAAGTGTACCCAGGCAAGTAGCTGAATGCGAAGAAACAGTGGATGATCTACACATTATTATTGTTATTTGAATTTGTTGTAATTGTATTATTTTCAAAGTTTCATCGTTTCTTATTTCTAAATAAATGCAACTGTCCTAAAAATTTCATCAAACTGGACCAAAGTACACTGGGTGTTCAGATACTTACGGTGAGCAGTATATATTTATTAAACGCGCTTCTATTGACACTAGGCACAATATAATCATATGAAATTTGCTGCAACACTGTTAATTATGGTCACTAATTGGCCGGGTTAAAATTTTCAAATTCTGTAGGCCAGTAATGCCCGTTGTTACATGGAATTTTGAGTCAATCGTAAAAGGTCTACGATAATAAATAAAGTGCACGAACTTGCAGTTTTAATGCTCGTCTTATTATTTGGAAACTAAAATCGGTTATTAATGAATGAAAGGAACTGAAATCATACAATATTTCATAGGACTACAAGGATAATTAAAATATCTCTACGGGAACGGCTACAAACGGCGCTACAAATTAAGGTCCTTACTTTAACCTTCTATTTCTGACTCCTAGAAAGCAAACACAGGTCCGTAAGCTACGTTTTCTCATAAAGAAACCCCATTTGAGTTCGTTGAAGTACCAGGTGTTCATTAATTCTGATATAATTCCTATACGAGAACAGGGGCTTCGTTACATAAACGGCCATTAGATGTTCCAGTGGTTCTCCGATAACTAATAAAACTTACAATACAATGGTGGTCCTCCTTTCATCTTACTGTTAAATCTGACACTTACTTTCCATGGAAATAATTTGTCTTCACATAGTAGCTTAGCTATCAAATACGTTTAATTGAAGTATGAAAGATCATTAAGAACTTATGTTTCAGGTAATGTGATGTTTCACAATATATAGTTACCTCCACGTTGGTTACGCCATTGATGTTGATTTTTCTTACCGACTGGTTGACTTGTAGTTGCTCCTTAGGTTATTAACTCGTATAAACTTTACCCTTCGACCATTTAAACCTGGACTGCTAGCGTCGTATAATATCTAATATAAAACTTGAAGCAAACATCTGCAGCGCCATCAATGGGTATGACTAAAATGAGAACTAAATCTGAGGCGCTAAATATGAAATTTGCAAGGACAAGTAAATTCACACAAAATATTTATACGATAACTGTTTAACTTTATACCTGACGAATTAATTTATATAATAAATAAATTTGAAGTAGATCAAATTTTTGGATAATGATACCAATAGATCGTGGAATAAGCTTTTATTAAAAAAATGTACATGTTTATTGCAGAGTCTAACCAATCTCCAGGATAACGTGTATAACATGACGGTGAGGGTGTTACACAACGATTAAGATTCATATTTTGATGACTAGCGAAAGTGTTTACATTTTCATCTACTGTCATTTCTTCAACTTGTTCTTGGTTGGAGAAACTATCGACATTTTCATTTGATGCATTTGGGAAAATTGAAGGAACCGAATTAGCCTTTTACTTACGCGAAAAACGTTTCTGTTTTAACGTCCTTGTTTTCAAGGTTGTAAACTGCATCACATTTTTTTACAAAACCACTTCAGAGTCTCATTTTTAATTAATTATGTAAAAGTAGCACAACTAACTAACACAAATTTACATAAAATCACTAATCGCGTAACATTCAATGACGTGTGTCAAATTTCGTTTCACAAAACGCACACCGCCTTGTGATGGCGCTGTAGATGTTGGCTTCATAAATTTGACTTTGCTAGCAATCCAGTTATTTTTTCATCCAAGACTTGACCTTTTTTGCTGTGCCTATCTATACTATAATTATCTGTTCTGTATTATGTGGTAATTAAATTATGTGGTATTGGTGTATCAAAAACTTAATTTGAGTAAATTTATAAGAGAATTGGTGAACGTTATGCTCAGATAAAGCTCTAATTTTAAATATCCCATCAAAATCGATACGTTACCTGAATCATATCTTTAAATCAATAAATACTATTAACTGCTTTCTTTATGATGCAAACGTTATAGGTTACAATGGAAATAAGTGTAACTTAAACCTGAAAATCTGGTTCTCAGTCATTAAGCTGCTTCGGGGAAAGTGCATGTTCGCAAAAAAAAATGGTTGAATACGTGAATTGGGGACTTTTAATTTTCTTAACTACAATGAGCTTTGAAAACGCCTATTATGTTTAAAAATCGATTAAAAGAGCTCGAGGTTCAAGTTATTTGATTTATTTATTTTTTTAGGTTATTTACTGTCGAAAGAAGAGGGTCAACCAGGAACACCTGAAAAACCCCTTTCGGATTTGGGCAAAGTTTCATATCACGCCTACTGGAAATCCGTTGTGCTCGAGTACCTTTACAAACACAGCGACGAAAAGATTTGCTTTTCGACAATAAGCAAAGAGACCGGAATGTACTGTCACGATATAGCCACTGCGTTACATCAACTGAGTTTTATCAAATGTACGAATGACGAAAACGGTGCCGCGCCCACGCTGTGCATAGACTGGAAAGTTGTGAACACTCACGCTGAAAGGGTGGCCAGATCAAAAACCAGAATACCCATCGACCACGAATGTTTACGATGGACCCCTCTGTTGACCACCACCATTAATCCATTCCGAGAGGAGAAGTCCGATGAAGATAAGGATGGACAGCCGATGGAATCTGCTGATCTTATTGTTCCCGTACCTGAAAAAATTATCATTGAAACTCAGCAAGGAGTGAAAATGAAGAAAGGGCGAAAACGAAAAACTGGATCAGTATTAAAAACACCAAGAACGCCCAAAACTCCAGCCGTGAAAGATAAAGTGCCTGATGCACAGCCCGCAGAAGTGGAAGTGGAGGTAACCTCGTCGGGCAGGCGGCGTACGCGTCCTAGCAAGTTCAATGAGACCACGTACGCGGATATTAAATATAAATCGCATACACCTGCTGAAGCGCCTAAACGAAAACGTAATGAATTTGTTTTGAATGAGAAAGATGATGACAAGGAGAAGAAGAAAATTAAAAATGAGCCTGTTGAAGTTCCTGTTTTGCCTGAGGTTGATAAACCAGAAGTTCAATCCCATACCATCTGTGAGGAGCATAAGCCACCAGACGAATCCAAAGAAACTGTCATTGTGGAGAAGTCCCCAGAGTCAAGTAGCATAGTTAAACGTCGCAATCAAGCCAAGGACACAGGTGAAAGATGGTCGCAAAGGCGCGCGAAACGCCAAGGAGAGCTTTTCAAGACCATAAAGGCGGAAGAAACCACAACTGAAGAAAGCTTACCACCTTTGAACGCCAAAGAAGATGACGAAGACGTGAAGCACAGCACTCCGTCTCTACTGCCTCAATTAAAATCTACCCCCGTAAAATCGACGTTGAAGAAGCGCGGTCGTGGTAAAGGTCGTTTTAAGCGAGCGCTATTAGATAAAAAGCAACTGACTCTCCCCGAGCTGATTAAGGATAAATTACAGAAAGGAAGCGAGAGCGAGTCGATCGTTTCTGAAAAATCTGACGATGAGGTGGCGCAAGTTTTTGGGAAGGACGAGAGCAAAGTTAGAGATAAATTGGATTTATCGGAAAAGGTTCCCTTGCGGAAGAGGAACAGTCAAATTGTGAACGAAGAGGATTCATCAGCCGAAGCGGATGACGAAATGGAGAATGACGAACGTGATGACAAGGTTTCTAAGGAAAACAAATGTTCCTCGCCAATTATAAAGTATAAGCTTGGAGGATTGAAGGAGTCTTACAGAAATATCTTGGAACCCGTGCAGCAGGACGACAAGCTGTCAGTGAAGGACAGTGAAAAATCCCCCGTCAAAGCAATGAATGAGGTTATACCGGAGGAGAAAGTCACAGAAACTCGAAGTTGCTCGCCAGTTCAAGAGCCTGAGAAATCAGTGTACGAATTCAAGCCCTCTCCAATTTGTTCGACCACATCCGGATCTGAAACCGAAATTGACGGGCAGAAGATTAAAATATTGTCCCAGAAGGAGGTGCTGGAATTGGCCAAACAAAGCTCGGCATTGAGCTCTCCATTAAAACGCGAAGAAAGCAAACCTCCCGAGAAAGTGGTAAGCCCAGTTGTTGAGAAGAAAGTTGAGAAGGTTGCCGAACAGTCTGTCGTGGTTAAGACACCGGAAAAGGTTGATAAACCACAAGAAGTGGAGAAAATTGATGTGGTGTGCGATAGAGTGGTTGAAACCACCCCGCCGAAAGCTGACGTGGAACCGGTCACGGTGGTAGAGAAACCTGTGGTGGTAGAGACGCCTGTTGTTGTTGATGTAAAAGTACCTGATGTCAGTCCGAAAGTGGATACTCCATTGGAAGTACCAATCCCTCCCACAGTAATCGAAACCAAGCCAATACCGCTCACACCATCAACAGCACATAAAGAAGTTACTAAACATAAAAATGAGGAGGTAAAACCGAAAGAAGATAAGCCAAAACCACCCAAAACTGAACTCAAGGTACCTGGGGAACGGAAAAGCTCCATCGTTGAAACCAAACCACAAACTGTGGAGAAGGAAATATACGCAAAACCAAAGGAAGAGCCCAAAGTTCATCCAAAACCAGAGATGCCAAAAATTGAAAGTAAACACAAGGAAAAATGTGATATTCCGGACATTCGTTACCAAAAGCAGGAGGACACAAAGCCCAAAGTTACCCATATTGAAACGCCCGAAAGTATATTAGCCAAAGCCGAATTTTCAATGGCCAATCCGAATTATCACATGACCCAGGCCCAGTACAACCAATGGCAGTGGGACAGATTCGCCTGGGAAAAGAGTATATATTTCGATCCGACCAAAAGAGACTATCAGGGATATCCGTTGCCCATACACATCCCCCCTTTGGATGTTCTACCCAAACACCCCGAGAAGGAAAAATCTGCCTTGAAAATGCATCGGCACGAGTCGAAGCACTCGCAGCAGAGCAGTTCGAAATCCAAGGATGTTAAAGGCAGTGAACGAGAGAGGCCCTCGCCTAAGAAGGAGGACAAGTGCGGTGTTGTGAAATCAAGGAGCATGCCCGATGAACATTCGGTTCCGGATGCATACTCGCAGCCTGCAGGTCTGTGTCCCAATTCTCAAATTCACAATCCAAGTGTGCCCAAATCGTGTAGTGTGCCGGTCAACAATAACACTAGCGATGCGAGATATGATAAGGTGGTGGCGAAACCAAAACCCAGTGAACCTTTAGAGACCAATGATGGCGCTACAAAACTTGATAGCTCAGACTCATTACACCATTCGGTGAATGTCGTAAAGCACACCCCGCCTACTCCGTCTGCTCCTGATATTTCCTCAATGGGAGTGTATACTCCAGACTCGACGACAAATTCGGTACACAGCCTACATTATGGGCAGTGCGATTTAGATGTCAGCCAACTAGGATTAGAATCGCCAACTTCCATTTCCAGTGACATGGCATCCCAAAACTCAGTCGAGTCAACTCGTCCTCCCTCCGCTCTTCCTCCGCACAATCAGCCTCAATTGCAACCGAGTTACGAGTGTTCCGTGCAGCACAGCATGCAGCAAAATATGTCGCAGCAAGTGCAGCAAAACGCCAGCGCGCCCGCGTCTAGCCCGCAACAGGCGCAGATTCAACAACAAATTTCGATGCCGCCCGCCAATCAGCATCAGAGCAGTTCAAGTAAAAGACAAATGCAACAGCAAAGAAATCGCTCGAATACTCCTTCGAGCAAACAGCACTCGAACGTTCGGTCTACGCCGCCTAGTAATCAGCACGCGACGATTCCGCAGCAGCGGCAGAGGGCAACGCCGCCCAGCATACAACCGCATCACCACATGCAGGCGAGTCCCACACAGAATCAACAGCAGGTAGGTGTCATTATTGATCCACTAGGGATAGGTAATTTTGAACTGAAGTAATTGCTTTAAATGGAAGCTAAAACAGAATGGTGGGGGTTTTCCAAGTATCCTTATTGCTACTAACTTGTTATGTATGGGATCAATTTAACCTAATAGCACAGATCTACACATACACAGATTGCTAACCTTATGCATTTTTTGGGAAACAAATGTAGGTATACTTGAAAGCGCCCTCTATTGCGGAGCAGTATAAACATGTATCGTTTAAAACTGTAATATGACGCTTATGGATTTATGCGTTAGATGTCGCTGAAACAAAATTGAAGCGCTAAAGTTTGCACAATTTGAATTCCTTAATATTCGTATTATTACAGTGGTATGATATGATAGGAGGTATGTTGAGCCATAATTGTTTCATTTAACACTGGAGCTACTCATTCGTCCTAAGGGAGTTATTAAAAGCGGGTCCCTGTGGTCACAGAGGTATTTTCGAAAAGTTGATAGTTTTCGAGTTGTAAGCACAAAACTGCTAAAAAAATATCTTTTTCAACTTTTTTTGTATTTTTTTCAATGTTGCGTCATGAAATTTTGTTAGCAAACCTCAGATTCGGATTCAGCACCCCAAAAACATATAGAATCAAAGAAATCAAAACTACCCCACAACTTTCCTGGTAAAAATACAATTAAACTGGATTATATGCACACTTTACCGCTTTAAATTTTTTGCAGCGACATCTAACGTATAAATCCATAAGCGTCATATTACAGTTTTAAACGATACATGTTTATACTGCTCCGCAATAGAGGGCGCTTTTAAGTATACCTAAATTTGTTTCCCAAAAAATGCATAAGGTTAGCAATCTGTGTATGTGTAGATCTGTGCTAATAGTAAAAGTATGATAGCATCTTAGTATCCTCAAAGATCATACTATACTAGATAAACAACGCTGTATAAATTTTATACTCCCATAATTCGTTCGTCACAATAAGTCGACTGCGTACCCCAGAGGTGATGTTTTTATTACAATAGTACAAACTACCTGGCGGGGTACGAAGACGCGCGAAATTGTAAAGCGCAGATATTTTTAGAACAAAGGGCTATTGTATGGGATGTCGGTGTCATTCGCAAGCTGCGACCTTGTGTGGGTGTTGGTGAAGCAATTTGTTTATCTCGTTACTTTGCTGTAAATTAAACTCCGTATATCCACATCTTGTTTTCAATTAAATTTTTTGAACTTCTAATAGTGTATTAGTCCTATTATACAGGGTCAGTTTTTTTTTCATTTTAAGCATTGGGATCTCGGAAACCATAAGACATACGGATTCGGTTAAATGAGGAAAGAGTTGTCGTTTTAAGAGTTTATTTAAAATATGCTTTTGTTTTTTGAAAAAAATCCACAGTTCACTAGATATGAGTGAAAAACAGATTTAGTGATTTTTCATTTAACCGTTGTTTAGAAACGTTATTATTAGAAATACAACAAAATGACAGGAATAAAAGTTTTAGACTTTTTAATGGTTAACATGATGAACATACTAATTTATTTTTAGATCTTACAATTTTTGAGTTATAATACAAACAATTTTTCTCTTAATAACGATATAAGGCTTGCTAAATGTACTTTAATAAATAAACGCCCTGCAGCAATTTTCGTATTATTGAGAGGTAAGTAAACAGAGTTGGCCATGGGAAACAATATCTAGTGATATGAAATGAATTTCAAGATATGTAGGATGGGTTAGATTTGGAAACACGACGTAATTACACTCGTTTCAACACAACGGTGCCCCGCCGCACAACTAACTGCAAGTTAAATATAATAGACAGTAATTAAGAGAACAAAAATGTTTCTCATGGCAAAATCTGTATTTACTATACTCTTAATAATACAAACCGTTCTTTATCATGTTTATTTGTCAAAGTAAGTACAATGAACCTTATCATTGTAAACAGAAAAAATGCACTATTTAAAAATGTCACAGTCAACTATGATTACCATTTAAAAAATGTAAGTTTGCGTTATAACTCGAAAATTATAAAAGAAGAATAAATATTAATAAATGTATCTTATTAAGCGGAAAAAAATCTACACTTTTTGTTCTTTGCATATTTCTGTATTTCTAATACTAACGATTCTAAAACAGTTAAATGAAAAATCACTAAATCTGTTTTTCGCTCATATCTAGTAAACTGTGGATTGTTAAAAAAAACAAAAGCATATCTTGAATAAGCTCTTACTACAACTCTTTCCTCATTTAACCGAATCTCTGTGTCTTACGGTTTCCGAGATCCTAATGCTTAAAATGAATAGATAGTGCAATAATTGTATACAGGGTGAGTTTTTTTTTCATTTAGCATTAGGATCTCGGAAACAGTAATACATAGAGATTCGGTTAAATGAGGAAAGAGTTGTTGTTTTAAGAGCTTATTCAAAATATGCTTTTGTTTTTTGAAAAAAATCCACAGTTTACTAGATATTGAGCGAAAACCAGATTTAGTGATTTTTCTTTTAAATGTAAAATCGTTAAAATTTGAATACAAAAATATGTAAAGAACAAAAATCGTACATTTTTTCCGCTTAATAAGGTACATTTATGAATTTTCATTCTTTCTTTTAATAATTTTCAAGTTATAACTCAAACTTACATTTTTTTAAATGGCAACCATAACTGGCTGTGACATTTTTAAAAAGTGCATTTTTTTCTGTTTACGATGATATAACGTTCATTGTACTTGCTTTGACAAATAAACATGATACAGAACTGTTTGTATTATTAAGGGTAGTAAAAACAGAGTTTACCATGGGAAACATTTTTGTTCTCTTAATTACTCAGTCTATTATAATATTTAACTTAAAACTTTAGGGCCACAAATAGAACAACAACGAAAAGAAATTACAAAATATTACATTTAAATTTCTACTTTGAAGTAATTACAACGAAAAAAATTAATTTATCTCGGTAAATGTTCATCATGCCCATCATTAATATTTACACACAAGCGGCAATTTTTGCGTAATAGAATTTACAGCTTTCGATATATATCCTACCTTCTAAAATGCGAAAGGCATTTACCACAGCATCATGTAGTGTTTTATCGCATAAGTTCGCTGATAAATTAAATCCTTTTAAAACACTGAAAAGGAAAATCTAAAATTGAAAGATCTAGCGATCTTGGTGACCAAAGGGCCGACACGTTCCTACCTATCCATGTGACTTTGGAAATAGTTGGTTTATGTGCTCTCGACCTCTTGTATTTGCAGTTGGTTGTGCGGTGGGGCACCGTTGTGGTTAAACCAGTGTAAATTACGTCGTGTTTCCAAATTTAACCCATCCTATATATCTTGAAAGTCATTTGGTAGCAAATGAAGATAACGTTGACCTATCCAATTTTCATCGTAAATTAAAGGTCCAAGAATTCGTGATCCAATAATTCCGCACCAAACATTAAATCCAAGTCTTTTTTGAGGTCTTATTTTGATTATTTATTGTTTTCCATACCATGATACGATCTACTTTTAATAGTGTATTGAATATAATTGTTCATTTAACTTTCATAGTGAATTTTCGAAAATGGCCTTTAAATATGTTAAATGTTACACTATTACCTATTTGACTAGACGTTGTTTTCCATGGCAAACTTTGTTTATTCACCTCTCAATAATACGAAAATTCCTGCAGCGCGTTTATTTATTAAAGTATATTTAGCAAGCCTTATATCGTTATAAAGAGAGAAATTTGTCCATTTTAAAAATGTCAAATCCAACTTTTTCGTTGTAATTACTTCAAAGTAGAAATTTAAATGTAATATTTTGTAATTTCTTTTCGTTGTTGTTCTATTTGTGGCCCTAAAGTTTTAAGTTAAATATTATAATAGACTGAGTAATTAAGAGAACAAAAATGTTTCCCATGGTAAACTCTGTTTTTACTACCCTTAATAATACAAACAGTTCTGTATCATGTTTATTTGTCAAAGCAAGTACAATGAACGTTATATCATCGTAAACAGAAAAAAATGCACTTTTTAAAAATGTCACAGCCAGTTATGGTTGCCATTTAAAAAAATGTAAGTTTGAGTTATAACTTGAAAATTATTAAAAGAAAGAATGAAAATTCATAAATGTACCTTATTAAGCGGAAAAAATGTACGATTTTTGTTCTTTACATATTTTTGTATTCAAATTTTAACGATTTTACATTTAAAAGAAAAATCACTAAATCTGGTTTTCGCTCAATATCTAGTAAACTGTGGATTTTTTTCAAAAAACAAAAGCGTATCTTAAATAAGCTCTTAAAACGACAACTCTTTCATCATTTAACCGAATCTGTATGTCTTATGTTTTCCAAGATAATCCCAATGCTTAAAATGAAAAAAAAACTCACCCTGTATATTAACAATAGTTTACAAAAAACCATTAAGTGATCCCTCAAATTTACAATGGGGCAGAAAGACAGAGACAGATGTTAATACAGTTTGTTGGTTCAAATGATCTTGGTCCTTAATTATAGAGAAATTCCGATTTTCAACTCGTAAAATTTGAAATCAAACTCATGTTTTTAACAGTTTAAAGTTCAATACTTATAAAGGCGCAATTTGTTATGAATTTTATGAAGTTATTCATTGTCCTTTTAACCCTCGCGTAACCAAGACACCCTGACGTATTAAAAATAAACCCATAAAGAGCGTTTAAAAAAGCGACAGAGCACCTAGGTGTGACCCCACGGAGTCATTGGATTTGACCCATTTTCAATTGGCTTGTTACATGTGGTATATATGTTAACTGTGCAAAGTTTGAACCGAATAGATTCAAGCGTTTGCCAGAGACAGAGAGGCGTGACCCCAAGGGGTCATTGGATTTGACCCATTTTTAATAGGCTTATTACTTGTGACATAGGTCAACTGTGCAAAGTTTGAACTAAATCGGTCCAAGCGTTTGACAGTTATCGTGTTCACGGATAGATGGACACCATCGACTCCGCTATAAAGCTTGCATCGCTTTGGTTTGCCGCTTAATAAAGTCAATCCCCCCCATTTTGATATGTGGGAAGGGAGAAAGGTGGTAAAAAACAGTTCCTTTCGTTGAGACCTTTAGTTAGAATACCTTGAAAGATAAAATCAATAATCCCCCCCCTCCAGCCTCATTGATTTCAAAAAAGAATCGCGGAGGTGTTTGTATTATTATTATTAAACCAACTACGTTCAATGAGATCGATTTCAGCAAATTCCGACTCGCTTTACCTTGGCACAATTTTATTACGTAGGAGACTAAGCGGGATCTCGTTTACCTAATCACAAAATGTTTAATTGCAACAAGTCTAAATTAGATAAATGTACAGTTGCAATGTAAATATGCCTGAGTGTAAAGGTATTTAAAAATTAGGTAAAGTATTGTAGGTACCTGGAACTAAAACTTTTATAAAATTATGCTAAGAAAAAGACTTTTGCAAATATTCATTTCATCCGAAAAATTTGGAAAATGTATTGGTTGGCGTTGGTTAAAAAAATACAAAGGGAAAGTGTAAATCCTCACAAATTATGTTTTTCATTTTAACGTCCTGTCTGTAACAGGACCTATCTTTTCCTGAATGACGCCCACGTATACACATGTAATTTTATAATAATGGAACGTGAGGAATGTTCAGTAGGTCATATTTACGTGTCTCGTCTTTAGACAATAACCATTCTTTGTATTTATGATATGATTCGAACTCGTACGAAGACGGCTTCGGATGAATCAGTTATCTTCTTAACTTTGAAAGCCCCCTATAATATTTTTATGGAACTACTTAAACACGAAACAACTCCTGCGTTTACGCTGGCTACCTTGTAGTATGATCTTTGGTATCCTTTTTAGCGCATTTTCGAACCCATGTTGTAAGACGCTATAATTGCCACTTTCTCCGTCCGTCCGAGGCCTTAACTACTCCTACAGTTTTCAATCTATACTGCATTCATTATAAGAAGGTAGTAGATGGCGCTGTGTTTGAAGATCGACACACACACGAAAAATATAAAACGGCACATAATTTGAAAAATATACATATAAATCAAACGATGTCACACTTGGATCTTTGAAATTGACAGCTAATGACAATTCGACAGTTTAGTTCGTAGCTGAAACTTCTAAAAGACAGAATTCGTCACTCGTTTAATATTTCAGGGTAATACTGACTCGTGTTTTAACCAATCACAGTGAAGGTCAAACTGTCCCTATGCTTTCTACCGCTACTTTCTTAAAATGAATAGCGTATAGTTCGTTCTTTTTACATTCGATAGTTTATAGCTCCGGCACTCGACCAAGAAAAATCTTGACGATTAATGTGCGCACTTTTTTTATTTATGGAGATATGTTTTTGACATTTTTTAGTAAAGGCAAGAATATCGCATGTTGTAAAAATCAGATGAGTGCATGCGCAGACTGCGCAATGCTAACTGTCTTATTTATAGAATTTTTGAAATTTTAACCTAAGATTCTTCTAGTGAAAATTTTAATTTCAAAAAGATTTAAAGATTAATGTTCATTTTCTTCTGTTAATGCGTTTTTTTATAATAATAAATGTAAATCCGCCAAATCTTGATTTAAATTGGCATATCCTTTTCTTCTGTTCATAACGTGCAACGCTGATTATAGCGAAAACCGTATATATAGGTCATGTTCTATAATTAATGAAGACAAGGGTACTTGGTTCGCTGTAAATGACTGATTACTGTGATGAGGTTCTATAAATGTATAGTGGATTAGATTGGTATCCTTGAATGGCATCCCCCTTTTTTTAAAGTAAAACACAACAAATGTGCACATTTCTCCAAATTTTATATTCTTTGTATTTCAGGTGCAACACAATGTCATGCAGCAACAGCAGCAGCAATTGCAAGCGCATCTTCAGCATCACGCGATGCATCAAGGCTACGGTCATCCACATCAGCTGGGAGCGAGTGCAATGCATCAACATCCACATCACCCCCACCATCATTCAGTTATAAGCCAAGGAAACTATATCCCAGTGCCTCAGATGACTGTGAGTTCTCAAGCGTTTTCCCCTCAAGCCCCCAGTACTTACGTGAGTGTACCCGCAATGACTACAGTAATACAACACCGAATGAGCGCGCAACAAAGTGGTTTAAGTAGTTTAGGTTCGTCGTCTTTAAATTCACACCAAAAAATCGGTCCCTCGCCGGCCTGTGCAGTTACATCCGGTGGAAATTTCTACATACAATCTAACGCCCACGCGCACACCCCTGGACCAGTACCCACGCCATCGCCGGTATCCGCGTCCGCCCTCCAAAGCAATACCGGTCAGAACCCATCGGGAAATTCGAGTTGTAGTCTAGCAAAACTGCAGCAATTGACTAACGGCTTGGAAATGATACCTCCCGGCTCGTGCAACACAATGACTCCACCTCCTACCGCGATGACCTTGACGCCGCCGCCCACCCACCATCCCCACGGGAACATGACACCGCCCCCCTCGCACCAAATGATTCAAAATCAATCCGTTCGCAATCTAACGACGCCACCTTCCGCAATTCCCGCGAATCTACAGCAGCAAGTGTTGGGTTACCACAAGTATTATCAAACGAATATGAACGTAAACCAGATCGGCGGTGCAGTGACGCCCCCAATCGGTCAAAACTTAGGACGATCAGCCAGAAACTCCTCCAACGTCGCCGTACAACACATGCAGCCAACCTCCAGCAGAATGAGCCCTAATGTCGCCTTGAATCCAAACATAATGGCCCAATACAACTCACTCAACGGATATCGAATGGCCGCACAACAAACACCCAGCGCAGTCGCCGGTTACATTACCAACACTGCGGCTGGTTTTATTAACAATGCTGCGCAAATACCAATGCAGATGGGGGTTATGAATATGGCCCAATCACAATATCAGGATCCGGCTGCCATACAAAGGGCGGCTCAACAGAACACCATGTATACTACCTACGGATATATCAATGGTAGTTTAATGCAACCATTGAACGGAAGTATGCGGCGTTAATGACAACCGTGCTTTGTCTGAAGAGGCTGTGCTTGTTTTAGAAAATGATTTTTAAACAAAATCAGTACAAAGATAACCAACAGATGTGTTAGTGTTAAAATTACGGTAAGAACACTTCTGTATATAGTGCTAGATTTGTGTTAACTTATTTTGTGTTTAGTCACTTTGCCAGAACTCGAATTATGTACAGTTTGCGTACTTTGTCAATCAATAGATAGTCTGTTGTTTGAACAAGCTAAGCTGTACTCAAACCGCCCCCTCCACCTTCTTACATGGCCACAGTTGACGATAACTTGATACCCCACATAATAAAATATGTGATTATTGACACCGCTTCATTTATGGACTAGTAGCTTAAGATTTGTTTTTGAAAACGTTTAGGTTTTTCCAAATTTTGCGGACCAGTATAATTTAACCAGTAACTTTGTATATACTTAAGAGTAGTCGCTTAATTTTTATGGTCACATCACAAGCTTCAATACGCAATAAGTACGCACTACGAGATTATTTGTATGGTACTACTTACATTTATAAGTTTGTTTAAGTTACAGTTACTTTCATTATTACTTTGTGGATGTGTCCTGTAACGGTTGTATTAAAAGAAAAGTGTTTGTGTTTACGCAAACAATTTAAAAGCGGCAGTTATATTTAATTTTGGAGTTGTAAAATAATTTATTAAAACGTTTGATTGTGTAAAATACTGTGAATATGTATATTATAGATATTCTATATGAACTAAGTTAATATTTTTTTTTGTTAATCTTTTTCAGAAATATGTTATCGGCTGTATAAATTGAGAGGATGGACATTTTATGTCTACTAATACGTGTAACCTGTACATAATGTTAAGTGTTGAATGTTTTCTCATGTATTTTAAGAATGTATAGCACTGTGATTAGAGAATTTGTTAGTTTGTTTATTTAAACTATGTTTTTTGCTTGTATATTTACAATCTCATTTGTATTACTATAGTACGATTGATATTAAAAATGTTAGTTTTTGATAATTTATTTATATTTTGCCACCAAATTTTATCCATTTATGTGTTTTATTAGTGTAATGATGCTACAGTTACTTCTTCGTTCTGTCGGTCTGTATTCTGTCCTGCCCTTTTTAAACGACGGACATTCAGAGTATGGCCCGTATGAATAAAAGTAAGCAAATGCTTATACTCGCAAAATTCAAAGTAAATACTCGTAACTGCTCCTTCATACTGGTCTGTTTAGCAAGGTTTAGCAGCGCTGCACTGCGTCCTGTCCTGCTTAGCAGCGCTGCTAAGTCGCCCAGTGCGAAGGAGCACTTACGAGTATTTACTTTGAATTTTGCAAGTATAAGCATTTGCTTACTTTTATTCATACGGGCCTATGTCTCAAATAAAATTTGCACCCTTAATCATTCGGTTTCCTAACTGTATAACTTCCCCAGACAATCGCGCGCGTAAATGGCGTGACGAAAAAAGTCAAGATTGCGCTTTGTTTCGTTTCCGTGGAATACGTGTTTTTTTTTCTCTGCTCTACATTGAAATGGGCCATAATTAACAATTTTCGTCTAGGATTTGTTTAAAAAGGAGAGATTTAAGCAGAGGTGTTTGTGCTTTTGTTGAGGCAGAAGTAAATTTTTACGTTTTGAATAGTGAGTGCAGCTTCGACAATTACAAAGGTGATGTACTCCTTTTTTTATCTCTACGTTTATTGCATCCATCTTTATAATATGATCGTGTTTAATTATTTGCCAATTTGATGTTATTCTCGTACAGCATTGATTATTGTCATTTTTATAACACATTCTAGATACAAATTGCACTTTTAATTATACTGGTCATACTTTGAATAAAATGCCTAGAGATTCTACGTAAATATGTTGTTTTCCAATTTACAGTACTCCTTTGTCCCAAGCGCTGGCAACATGAATTACTGGCCGATTTACGTTTTTTAATTATATTTAGATACAGGATGTTCCCTTAGGGGCGATATTCAATACAAGTATACAGAACTACCTTTTAATTTATAATTTAATTTATTGCAGCACATTTCTTTTTTGTTTGCATCACGAATATGTTACTGTTTATTTACAGGGTGCTTCATATGGGGGCGAGTGACGTACGTTAGGTGATTGGTTGTTACATATTGCACTTGGCATTGAGAATTATTTACTTGATACTAATGTTTTGCCACGACATGTTCCTTTGCTTTACTATCATGTGATATTTAACGTTATACTCCTACTATTTATTTGAACCAGGTGATTATGATTATTAATATTTGGCGGGGTCACTTGTTTCAAATATGCACTATGCTATATTTGATACAGATATTTAATCTCGATTTGACGTAGCAGAGGCTGGCTAAAGTTCAGAACTAACATACGCAGAGATATATCTATGTTTTTTGTGTCTTTGAAAAGAGCCATCTTGCCGATATTGCTAATCAATTTGTTTAGTCGATCCCTGACATGTAGTGACCGAATATTGGTTTTGTATCAGTCTTTGTTATGCCAGTGTAAATATGTCAACTGTCAACGCCTACATAAATTCTGTATATTTTGTTTATGATTATGAATGCGTGCGAGTTTGCCGATGGTTGCTCTGTTATTTTTGTTGTCATGATTTGTCTTTTGATCGGTTACTGTCAGTACTCATGGTAGAGAGCCTGGAGTTCGGTAATCTATAACCCGATACTTTATAATTAGTGGGTTGGACTGGCCCTAGAGATGTGTGAATGAAAGAGTTGGGGTCCCGCTTAGTCGTACATGAGGGCAAGTCCCGGCCTCACTTGCGCAGGGATCTGCTAAAAGCGTACGGCGTGTTCCCGTTGTGCGCTTTGTTTTTTGTATCCATTGGGGTATCCTTCCTGTGTGAAATGCTCTTCTAAGAGGCCAACTCCTAGCGATTTCATACAATGTTGACATGTCATGACCAGAGCAACTAAAGACTACTCGGTGTGGGATTTGGACTGATCATCCAATATCCAAACTTATTATGTGAATTTATTGTACTGTTTTAATGATTGTTTTTTTTGTTATGTGTATGAAATATTGATTCTTTAGGAATTCCAGCGGAGCCTGTGATTCAACATTATATTAATTTACTTGACAACCATCATAATATGCATTCATGCCATTACAGATAACTAATTTTGCTATAAAGTTCAATATTAATTTGTTGGCTGGGTTTTTTCTTGGTCAGTTCTTTTTTTCCCAGCCTATTGTTATATTTGTACTCGGTGAACTACCATTTTCTAAATTTAATCATGCAATGCGAAGCCGTTTTTAAAGCATGTACTTGTTTTATTTATATTCCTTCCTTGATCCTCACTCCGACAAGCAACACATATCTTGTAGCGACTCTTAAAAACACAAGGTAGTAAGTGGTCTTGTTATTCGGTTACTCAGGTTAGGTAGCTTTGTCTAGTCGATCACGTGCCATGGGGTTCAGGTAGTTTGGGAGGGAAAGTTTTGAATTTAAATGTTGAGTAGCAAAGTTTCTCGGGGCTGACCTCGGTACATTACAAACCAAAGGCATGCGTATGCAAAATCTGAGACCAATTGGTTGTCGTATGTAAAAGTTATGCACGTTTTACTTTGAAAAACAGCATCTCAGGAAATAATTCGTGCCCCCCCACCCCCCTTTAAACAGTGAAATTTGATGGCCGTCTGGCACACCTTCAAGGTATAGGCTTTCTACTACAAAAAATGTCAGAACTGTAGGACCATTCCCCTAGTAGTTCAAAACGGCAGAAGTGGGTCCGGACCGACGAACGGACGAACAAAACGCAAACAATAACACATTTTTTTAATTCTTAAAAAATGCGCTAAAAATACATACAATACAAAAAAATATGGCGCCCAAATTTGTCAAATTATAAAACGTTAGCGGTGTTCAATTCGGCATTAATTTAAAATGCAAGCCAATTCTCAAGTTCAACAAATGAGATGAAGAATGTTGGCTAAGGAAAATGTTGAACATTTAAATACGTAAGAACTAAGAAGTGAAACTATAAAGCGAAAATACAAAAAAGAATCGAAGTTACGAAAACAGTGCACAAATTTTAAGATGGACCACTTGGAACAATACTTATTCATTAATTGTTTTAATACAGCTTATCTGTTTAAATAGTTTGTATTAAAGAAATTTCAATAATTTTTTGTGCATTATTTAATTTTTCATGCATATCTTCACTTCATGTTTTTTTGCCATATTTTTTGTACATATGTATGTGCATTTTTGACGTGTTTTCATGCATATAAGTCCGATCCCTAGATATATGCTGTCTTGACTGCAAACATTCTCAGAGCAATTGGTGGGTATTTCACCTTAATGCAACCTCAATCTCCTATGGAATAATATGAGATTTCAGATTCCAGTATAGCCAATAGAATTTTCGGGCTACAATGGAGAGCCAATAAGATAATTAGTACATGATGGGCAAGGGATTTTTTGAAATATCAAGTTTCTGATTGTAATTGTAATACAGGTGCTGGCAATATAAATCTACCTTCAATTAACTATACAATCCATTCTTCCTGGAACAGCTCGAAGAAATCTCTCTTATTTATAATTCCACGTACCACGTCTGAACTTTCTACATCCATTTTGCTTTAAAACTGAGTTTGAAAAATTGTAAAATTACTTTTAACAACTCGTTTCTACTCTATCAAAACGTTTTCGATAGAAAACAACACAACTTCTTGAACTATTATTTTTATTTTTCAATGGGGTTGGAGCTTGCTACGTTTGGGAACCACACTTTGCTACCATGTTAAGCTTGTTGTAGTAGAGAAGAATACACAGAATTAATGAAAACTTTATTGACAGTCTCAGTTGACAACGTGCTATAAGTAAAATGAAACCTATCACAAATTCTGCAGGTGACATATCACATAATGGTACTAATAGGTACGTTAATATCAATCCTAGGCGGGTAGACGCCAGACGGACAGACAGGAAGTGTGATTTCATAAAAGAAGTTTTTCAGTCCAAAGACATTCGCTTCTTAACGATGGATGCTGATTGTTATAATTCAAAAAGAGCCACTGATATTAATGGAAATTCCAGCTGAATTATTAATATGTATGAGAATACCTATTTAAAGAAGAAGATTTAGCCTCCCTCGATAAAGTCGGTGCCCCTGATTTCACGCAGATTCACTTGGTTTTGCTTAATAACTTCCTATTCATAAATTACCGAAATACGAAATCGCGAGGGATAATTATGAAAACATTACGAAACTAAAATTCGTTGGTAATAGTATATTACCTATATATACCGCGGGACTGAAGTAGTACTTTTAATCCCGAAGGTAAAGTAATTTACCTGAGGGATTAAGACCACTACTTCAGTCGCAAGGTATACAGGGTGTTTTTTTGGGAGCTTTAGTTAAAAGTTTCTGGGAAAGTAAAATAGGTAGGTTTTTGAAAATTTGTACTTAGGAGTTACTCTGAAGGCCGAATCGATGTAAAATATTTTCAAAATGGCCGCACTTCCGGAAACACCGGAAGTAGATAGTAACTTCGTTATTTTAAATGGCAACCCCTATTTTTTTATTGCTTTTTTGGATTCTACGTGAAATTTCACTTCTTTTGATACCCATATGTCGATATCTACCATTTATGGTTTTTAAGTTATTTTGACTTTAAGAAAAAAAATGGCGGATGCAGATGGTACCTTGATAATTGATTACTTGCAAACGGTTGTAGTCATGGCAACCTATTTTTATCAGTGCATAGAGAATGAATAGGGCTTTCTTTTAGTGCACTTAAAAAAAGTTAAGTTGCGTACGACCGCCCCTATGGATATCCAAATTTATGAAACTTCAAAGACTAAAAACTCAGTTTTTTTTAATGGAATGACCATGTTCTTACTATTCCATGAGATAGAGAATCGAAATGGGCATATTTTGACAATACATGTTCCTATAGCTATCTTTAACAGTTTCTGACTTATTCCCATTTTATTGAATTGACACTATTTTTTTAGGATTTTCTTTTTAGTAGTCGGCCATGATTCTATAACAATTGAATTTTAAACAAATCTAGTGACACTAATCCATCACCCACTGTTATAGGTTAACATAAGTTTTTCAAAAATCGAAAAATGACTCGCAGTGGTTTCACCTATTTTGGAATTTAATTGTTATTTATGGTGAAATGGGCCAGAATCGCGGCGCGTGCTTTCCGTACATTCATTCGAAAACTAGAACGAAATTGTATGAATTTTTGAAATTTTGTACCCCTAATGCACTACAAACCGTTGAAGCACAAGTTATACAAAGCTCTACAAGAGAATATTTAAGAAAATGAATTGAATTGCAAATGCAAGATTAACAAAATAAATTCAATGCAAAATATAAAAAACTTTGTTGAAACATTTTTGGTATGGAATTGTTGCTAGAACAGATATCGCATTACCTCTCTTAATTTCCAGACTTATACGTTGTTTAAGAAATTCAGTTGAACGACTCTGTTTAGATTTTTCAAAAATTTTCTGTCCTATATCCTTATTAAATGAGTTATTTATTAATGAATTATTTAGACTAGAACTAGAATCAGTGGTATTAAAGAATCCATTCCTTGATTTGTTTAAAATTCGATTGTTATAAAATCATGGCCAACTACTAAAAAGAAAATGCGAAAAAAAATGGCATCAATTCCGAGATCAATTCAATGAAATGGGAATAAATCAGAAACTGTTAAAGATAGCTATAGGAACATGTAATATCAAAATATGCCAATTTCGATTCTCTATCTCATGCAATATTAAGAACATGGTCATTCCATTTAAAAAAACTGAGTTTATAGACTTTGAAGTTTCTTAAATTTGGATCTCCATAGGTGCGGTTGTACGCAACTTAACTTTGTTTTAAGTACACTAAAAGAAAGCCCTATTCATTCTCTATGCACTGATAAAAATGGGTTGCCATGACTATAACCTTTTTCAAGTAATCAATTATCAAGGTACCATCTGCATCCGCCATTTTTTTTTCTTAAAGTCAAAATAACTTAAAAACCATAAATGGCAGATATGACATATGGGTATCAAAAGAACTGAAATTTCACGTAGAATCCAAAAATGCAATAAAAAATAGGGGTTGCCATTTAAAATAACGAAGTTACTATCTACTTCCGGTGTTTCCGGAAGTGCGGCCATTTTGAAAATATTTTACATCGATTCGGCCTTCAGAGTAACACCTAAGTACAAATTTTCAAAATCCTACCTATTTTACTTTCCCAGAAACTTTTAACTAAAGCTCCCAAAAAAACACCCTGTATACGATATTTTTCATACTTCCGAAACTGAAACACTTAATATGTATGGAATTATAGAACGCGTTCTTTCAAAAAATCGCTGCTTAACAAGTTACCATAGGAACGTTGCGTTGGTACGACAAACCCTATGCTATATGGTAACAACAATAATTTGGAAACTGTCATTGCTAGTGTCATAATTTTGGTGGTGGGTGACAAAGGTGTATTTGATATTGATAAAAGAGCAGCCAAATTAGGTAAACAATTGATACCACCGAAATCCAAAAAACTATGTGAGCAGCAGTACGATGCGTTTAAGAAGTAGTGCCGCATACAAAATGTGGAACAACCTACCGAAATTGCCTTGGTAGTAATTTCATCCTTCCGGGATTTTCGTCCAAATTTCATCCCGGCGGGACAAAAAGTGACACTTCAGTACTTGTCATAATGGAGTGAAGTTGTCACTTTAGTCTCGGAAGTACGAAAATTCTGTTTATTTTTCATTTGCCTATTATATGTCAATTATATCTGTCATATGTGATATATGAAGCAGTCTATTACGCTCAAGGGCATAATGATGAGGGCATAATGGATTGTCATCTCATTATGCCCTCAAATGGCCTGTCAAATTGATTGACGGAGTTATATTCATGACATTTGTATGTTGGAAATGCATTCTTTGGAATGATGAAAAATAAAATGTTGTATGCACGTCAGGCATTACTCAATATTTAACCCTCGGGAGACTTACAATCCCTCGGGCCGGAGGCCCTCGGGCTCTGTCGCCCTCGGCATAAATATCGCCTTAATGCCCTTGATGCATAAATAACTACATATTCGGCCTTATTCTGGTGACCATTGAAATGTATCCGACATTGAAATTTCATCAATTATTGAGAAAATGTCAACGTTGTTTATAATTTGTGATTACGGTGACCTCAACGGCGTTGAATTATTTCTAATAACCGTTGAAAACTAAACAAGCTCGATTAGGTACTTGTTTTCGACTTTTCAACGCCTGAATTCATATTTTGAGGTTAGGTGTACTTGAATTTGAATGTGATTTGTTAAATAAATCATTATGGCAGACGGATTTATTTTGTTAATCGATGCACTTGTGGAAGACGAACAGCGGTAGAATGTTTGCTACTAATCACTTATAATTGCACAAGAGGTTTGAATTTTACCGAGTAAATTTGGGTTGTTAAGGTAATGAAAATCTGTTGCCTAGCAATTAGACGAGAAAAACTGTCAACTAATAAAAATGCGACACCGAAGGTGGAGCATTTTTAGGTTGACAGTTTTTCGAGTTCAATTGCTAAATGGAAACATATTTGAATTGCAACAACCCAAATTTACTCGGTTTAAATACAAACCTCGAGTGTAATTCGGCAGGACAATTTAACGAACAAGAAATTCACCAAACTAGTCAATTATTGACAGACGTCAAGCTAATCATATGGGAAAGGATAATGCGATAATTGTTCCAAAATGAATAAGGGCCGGTTGTATAAAGTGTAGTTGACTAAAGGTTGAAATTGAACCGGCGGTTGAGTGAAAAATTCTGTTGCATGATCGACGATTTAGCTCTAACTGACAGTTGAACTGTCAGTTGGCTCAAACGGCACTCGAAGTACGGATTAGCGAATTCAACCGTCAGTTTATGTTTGTTAGTGAAGTTATATAAATCGTTTAAGGTAAGATTCAAGCATGAAACTTCAAATAATAGTACAGAAACGATATTTATAGATGTCCAAAAAAAGAATTGCCTTTACAGATATAGATGTACGGACGCTTATAGATATAGTTTTCAAGTATAAGCATAAGATAGAATGCAAGAAGACTGACGTTATAACTTGGAGGGAGAAGGTAACTTTGAATATGTAGTAATTGGTATGTGCACTATCTAACTGTTTCCCATGTTTAGGATGCAATTTGGTCTAAAATTGCAAATGAATTTAATTGTGCCGTGATGGATCAAAAAACTGCAGAGCAGTTACGTACGAAGTACGATAATTTAAAAAAAGAGGCCAGGAAGTATTTTGCTCAACAACGGCAGCAAATGTATGGTACTGGTGGCGGTCCTGCCCAAGTTATGATAAGAGATTTTCTAAAAGAAATTTTTGAAAAAATAAAAGCCATCATTAATTTGTCTATCGAAGGAGTTGCACCATGTAGAGGTGACAGTGATGCTTGTAAGAGTGATTTACATATTTTCTTATTACTAATGAGCTTTTGGTAGGCCTTATAGAGACCTCTGAGGCATCTTCATCGGTTGCTCAACAAAAAGATTTCGCCGATGTTATTTTCCTAGATTTGCCGGACGCCTGCAATATCGAAATGCAACATCTGGAACCTTGTGAAGAAAGAATAGATATTTCCGATTCCGCAGTGAATGAACATGAAATTGCAGTAACAACTGGTTACAAACATACGATTCTAAAATTCAACAGTTTTTATTAATAACAAAATAATTTTAGATTGGAGTAACTATAAGCCAAGCATGTTGAGAAAAAGAAAACACAAATTGTTACAACAAACAGCAAAAGGGACACCAACGAAATATGGTGATTCATTAGAGGTAAAAATGGTGTTGTATTTGTACAAACATGTATTTTTACAGGAAATACAGCAACGCAAGTGTTAGAAGAAATAGGTAACACAAAAGCTGAATTAAACAAGTTAAAAATGGAACTACTGAGAAAGGAGGATAACAGCTGCAAAGAATAAAGCTTCAAAACGAACACTTGAAATTGCAAAATGAACTGTTATCATTACAAATAGATAAAATAAAAAATGCTCAGTAAAGAGTGAGTTTCTTTATTATTTATAATGTCAAACAGTCAAAATCATAAACCACATTACGGTAATGAAGAAAAATAATCTATGAAAGTTTGTCTAAAGTTATTGTTGATATTCCCTGCTTCTGGTACATTTACTACATCGTCAATTTCATCATCGTTATTAGGAAGTATAACATCAGGGTCTACTAATGGTCCGTCTTCATTCCTTTCTTGAATGCAAGCGATCACTTTGAAGTATTTGAAATATTAAAAAGAACCACGACTGTGTTTTAAATAAACACATGGATAAAAAACACATATTTCAAATACTTCAAAATCTCAACGGAACCAGAAATGGAGAATTTCATCACATATAGCAAACGATCATATTTGTTGGAGGGGGGAGGATAAGAAGTTGTCCCTTTCAATTTATATCAAGGAGACTACATGAAAGAGGACAACGTTTATTAGATTTACGCCTTGTCTAATACTCCATTACGCATTTGTCATGCGCACAATACAAACACGGCTGCCGCGCTTTCCATATACTAAAAGCGGATTGGCTGGTACCGAATCGTCAGTGTAGTCAACCGTAGAAATCTAAAACCAACCGTTGGTTCCTCAACCGACAGAGAAATAGCGTTTATGCAACGCGTTTCATTCCAACCGACGGTTGACCCCAAACCGGAGTTTCACTAACCGGCGGTTCAACCGTACTTTTATGCAACCGGGCCTAAGTGAAAAAACCACTAGTGCATTTGTCGCTGGAAAAGTTGCAGGTAACTTTTGCCGCTGTCAAAGTGACAATTACACTGCGGCTTATGCGATTTTTTATACATGAGTTGAATTGTCACTTGATTAATAATTTCTTTTCATTCTAGAAATAATGCTGCATTAATACGACGAAATTTACGGGATCAAAGTGATCCCATGTCTATGCCAGAAACTCAGTTTCGATCACTGTACCGATTGTCGAGAGAGATGGTACATAATCTCATTTTAGAGCTCTCGCCTCATTTGCAAGATGCAGAACGTGAAGAATTATTTATCCCGAAAAAATTAAAAGTAAGTTATATATTTAGTTTAGATGCTATGAATGAGGAATGAATTTCTTTATTTTCAGATTATGGTGGCGTTGCATTTTTTTGCCCATGGCAGCTACCAAAAAGCCGTCGGGCAAGATTTTTGTACAAGTATGAGCCAGTCATCTGTTAGTAAATGTTTAACAGTTGTTGTTAATGCTTTGGAAAATTTGTACCATTATGTACGTTTTCCACAAACACAAGAGGAAGTAACGCTTGTTAAGCAAGGGTATGTTAATTAATTTGCAACTATAACGCTCATATACACATTCCAAATTATAGTTTTATGAATATGGCCCATGGGTTCCCAGGTATTGTTGGTGCTGTTGATTGCACACACATTGCAATAGTTGCTCCTCCAATTAATCATCCTGATTATCCTGCAATATTATTTTATAATAGAAAAGGATACTACAGCCTTAATGTACAAATTGTAAGGTATTCATAGCTTTTTAATCTGATATGAAAACAAAATAATTTTGTGACAGATATGTGATGCAAATTAAAAAATATTAGCATTAAATGCTCGTTATCCCGGATCAGTTCATGATGCAGCTATTTGGGGCACAAGCCAAATACGACAAAATTTATATAATAGTTATCAAGCAGGCCATACCTCCTATTTACTTGGTATTATAATCACTGTACATGTATGGGGAATCTATACAAAGTTTTGTTGAAGGCGATTCTGGGTATCCACTGGAACCATGGCTGATGACACCCATAACAGCTCCTGATACAGATGCAAAACGTGCTTATAATATTGCACATAGAAGTGTAAGAAATGTGATCGAAAGGTTGAACGGAGTTCTTAAAACAAGATTTCGGTGTCTCCTTAAACACCGAGTTTTGCATTACAGCCCACCAGTTGCAGCTAAAATAGTAAATAGTTGTGCTGTTTTACACAATATGTGTATATTGCATGGAGATCAAGCTTTAATTGATGGTAATGCCGAATGCTGATGAAGTCAAATGTTAATTCCATATTTTACCTTTAGATGTTCCAGAAGATGAATATGTACAAGATGAACATGATCAGCAACAGCTACAAAATGGACATGAGAGGTATCAGGGTGAACAAGTACGAACTAGAATAGTGCGGATGTATTTTAATTAATAGTTACTGTTACTTAATCATTAATATGCATATTCATGTATAAATTACTTACTCTATCAATGGAAGTAAACAAATTTATAATGGCAGTTCTTAATTCCTTGATGGATTGCAAATACAACTTTTGTTTAAGATCAAAAGTATGCATAATACGCTTCTGAAGAAGTCTAGGTCCTAAAAGAAAACTGGTACTTTTATAACAAATTGCATTAGGAAATTACGTTTTCTTATATTTGGTGCCACAGAAATAGTCATTTTCTTTTGATGCATCTCTTTCCTTACTTTGCTACACACAGTCTTAGACTTATAAACGCCTAGTTCACTTACATTCATGCCATTGATTGTAACCCACTTCAGTATGCTTATCAGTAATTCTTCGATGTCATTTAAATAATTGTCAAGTCCAGGTCCTCCTCCAGTCTCCATCATGTATCTTAAATTATCTCGAGCTTTTTTTTTGTTCGACTACTCCATTCATAAAATGTCTGTAATTTGGTAGTATACACATTTTTTATACAGACACATTAAATTAACACTTTGCACAATGTTTACCTGCTGCCATTCATGAATAGTCTTTTTTGGTCCAGCAATGGAGTTCAGTTCCAGACACATCACTTGGAAATCTTCTTTAGGTATATTTGTAAAGTATGTTTATTTTTTTGAAGATAAGTTAAATAAACTTTATATTGTTCTTTGGTAGTCCTTTTAATATTTCCTCAAAAAAAAATGTATTACACAACCCTTAAATGTAAGTACATAATAAATTTACATATCAAGATTTACTCTTTCATACACATCACAAAATCTGTTTATTGATGCTGCTATATTATTTAAAGCATTTGCAATATCTGTCATGCCATCTCTTGCTTCATCTTGCGCATTCACATAGGCTTTCAGTAAGGGATTTTCCGTACATTCTACATTTTTGAAACAGAATTTGAGTAGTATAATTACCAATAAAATAAATGTGGAACTTACTTTTAGGTTTTTTTTGAGAGGTAGACGGCAGAGCAGCATTTGCATTTTCTTTATGTAATGTGGGCTGTAGATTTTCATCAGATAATCGCTCTTCATCCTCTTGCACTACCTATGTGACAAATTACCATAACATATGTACATGTGTATACTCCACAAACCTCTAAATTTTCAATGTCGAAATCGACATCTGGAGAAGCTTCTGCAGTTTCACCTTCATTGCTAATGCCCTCAGTAATGCCCAATTCAACATGATCTAATCCGGTAACAGCAATTTCGCCCGTTAATCGAATTAGTTCGTGCTCAATTTCGTTTAACTCTTTTCCTTCTCTCGCTTTTTTTCTAATAATACATTTCCATTCTCGAAATACCTATCAAATGTAACATAATGTATCTACTAAACTATATGTTGTCACTTACCTTTTTCCATCCCTCTATATTCCTCACAGGACCATCCCCACAACTATTAAGATTGGCGACCATTTCATTCCAAATTTGTTTTAGGCCCTCCGTGTTTGTGGATGGAGTCAACTTTCCTGTTATTAATATATCATGCCTCTTTAAATATGATAAATATATTTTAAACTGAGACTTGCTAGTCTTCTTTCTATTCATATTAACACTTATAAACTACAAAACGAAAAAATTTTGGGTTTGATTTCTATTAGGTTAGAAGTACGTAGAACTACCAGAGATGTGACTACTACCCGCGAATTTTAGTAATATTACGAACTGTTTGAACTACTTTCACTGTTTTACAGTTGGCAAAAAATTTAACGTTGAAAACGTATCAACACTAAAAACAATACGTCACGGAAATTGCAACTTGCAATCAACGTTGTTAGCAACGTTGAAAACTCTGTTGAAATGTTTTCAACATTGCGTACATACCGGTGGTCACCAGAATAAGGCTGATTATGATCCAAATTATTCATACACTCACTGAATGCGGCTATTTGTAATGTATGTGTGGTGATTGGTCAAATCTCGCGTTTCTCGTTTCCGCTTCAAGGACAACCAATCGCCTTTACCTGCCGTTCATTGTCTTTACGCCATTTTTATAATTCTCATCGACTCGGCGTGTGGTGTGGATTTTCTCAAGTTTTGTGAATTTTATTGTGCTGTAGGAATTTGTAACGTGTATTTTTGACGACCAACACGCAAAACGTGTTCTACGGAAGAGTCAAATTGTCTATAAATCTGTATTTTATAGTTTCGTGATTGAAAAAGGTAAGTACCTACATTCCCTTTCATCGCACTGAATCCTTTTTATCGTGAACGGTATGAATAGTCTTTTCGGTCGAGGATTATCGTTTTAGTTTTGTAGCTTGTAACGTTTTACTTGATTTTGCTCGAATTTAACAATGACGCTTTCGGTCCTTGAGACGGCCATATTTCTTTTACTTTTTGTTTGGAGAGTCTGCCTGTTTTTCACGTAGTTTTAAGGAAAGTTTGACACGAGTCGAGCTTTTCTTGCTCATTAAATGTAATCTCTCTTTGTAAATATCGTCGTAGTCACACGGGTATTCATGTGTGTCGAGTTTCAGGCTTAGCCATGCCGGGTTTTAGCAGTGCGGGTACGTTCAAAATATTTATCGGAAATCTCGCCGATAAGACAGCGATCAACGATATTAAACCATTATTCGAAAAGTACGGGAAAGTTGTGGAATGCGATATCGTCAAGAATTACGGTTTCGTACATATGGAGAACGAGACGGAGGGACGCGATTCGATACAAAATTTGAACGGATACATGGTCAATGGCCAGGCGATTAAGTGTGAAGCTGCGAAGAGTCGTAAAGCACCGACAACGCCTACGACTAAGATATTCGTCGGCAACTTAACAGAAAATACGAAAGCCCCCCAAGTACGGGAATTGTTTAAAAAATTCGGCACCGTTGTGGAATGTGATATCGTACGGAACTACGGGTTCGTTCATCTAGATACGTCGGGCGATGTGAACGAGGCGATCAAAGAATTGAACGGTACTATGGTCGACGGGCAACCGATGAAGGTGCAATTATCGACGAGTCGCGTACGACAACGGCCCGGTATGGGCGATCCCGAGCAATGCTATCGCTGCGGACGTGGAGGTCATTGGTCGAAGGAATGTCCCAAAGGTGTGGGTCCCGAACGATTCCGCGATCGTATGTTCGGTCGTGATCCCTACCCACCGCCGCCGCCTCCGCCATTCCTGCGCGACCGAATGATGGGTCGTTTTGGGGTAGGGCATTAACATTAGTCGAGGGGCAAACCATTTCACAAAAAACCATTCGTATTATAGCTATTTTCAGGTGATAACACTGTTACATTAATAAAATTGTGGACCACATTTACACAATTTTTGGTAAGTATTCATTATTTTGACATTATACATACCTATGCCTGTTTGGACCGTAGATAAGGTAAGAACATCCTGGAATAGAAACAACAATGTTGAAAAATGTCCACATTCTGTTGCCAAACTTCTACAGTAATTTGGAACCCTGTTGTAGACAGGGTGTCCCACAATTTATCCGGACTATGTATATCTTGAAACCTGGAATATTTTGAAGATTCTACGCTATACTAATGTCAATAAGAGGAATTCGTTTAAGCTGGTGGTTTGTCCGGGTATACCACTTGCTTATTTTAAATGACATATCCTATATATTATTCCATTTTTAAATTTTACGTAACGATTGTATACACTATACAGGGTGTTTTTTTATGAATAGTATTGGGGATTTCAGAAAGTATACAAGATATGAATTAGGTTAAATTAGCTTTTCGAAAATTTCTATTATTGCTATTTAAAAATAGCTATCAAGTACATAAACTAGGTCTTTATGGGCGAGCCGTTTATTTAGCCGAGCGAGCTTGCGAGCGAGGCACAAATAAACAAGGCGAGTCCCCATAAAGCCTATTTATGGACGCGATATATACAAAGCTTTATGTATGACTGCAACAACCCTTAAAAATGAAAATTTCATGAAATTCAATAAACGATAAAATCTATATATCATTGACGACAGATGTCAAGTATTTCTAAAATACTTGAATTTACTTTGGATTGACACCTAAGTACGACTGTCACATTGACAGGCGGCCGTTTTACTTTATCATTATGGACTAATTGCGACTGTAATCAGAGCATTATCAAGCAGTCGTACATAAACAAATTTATTTCATAACTGGCAAGATTATAAATATTGTCTTCTATGTATTAAGGTATGCCATATTATTGATAGTAATGATAGTGACACCTATAATTTTTGAATTAGGTACAATTTTTATGTAGCACTAATAATGACGGAACTACAGTGATTTGAATAAAAATTATTTTTCAATATTACGGTAAAT